AAAACAAAACAAAACAAAAAAACAGCATCACAGCTCATAGCAACCTCAAACTCTTGGGCTCAAGTGATCCCCTTGCCTCAGCCTCCCGAGTAGTTGGGACTACAGATGCCCACCACAATGCCTGGCTATTTTTAGAGATGAGGTCTCTGTTTGGCTTAGGCTGGTCAAACCTGTAAGCTCAGGCAATCCACCTGCCTCAGCCTCCCAGAGTACTGAGATTACAGGCATGAGCCACCATGCCCAGCCCAGAGCCAATATTTTTGCCCTGGGGAGGTCAGGTCCAAATGATTGTCACAGGCAGGCTTCAGAGAGAAAATCACTTTCATAGGACAGAAGCCTAGAAATGCACAGGCTCCTTGGGCTGTCTGTCTCAGAAAACACCTCTGTTGATCAGCCACCTCCCACCCCTCCGACAAGCCCAGTCACTGGACCTATCACCTGGGCTCTAATACCAATCAGTGGAGCACAGCAGATTCAGAAATGGGGAGTCACCTCATATCAGCTCCCCAAACAGGTGAAAGGCAACAGAAATGGCAGACTTCTACCCCTTCTATTCATTTTTCCCCACCAAAAATAATTTTCTTCCTCCCAACAATTCTCCCTCCTCTTCCTCCATCCTCCAGTGGGCTCCCTGTCTCACTGTGGCTTCCAGATCCTCTGTCTTATTGCGGAGATGGTCCAAGTTTTCTCCTCGGGCCAGAATCCGCTCCACATTCTGGGTCATGATATTCTTGACTCCTTCCACCTGACTCTGCAGGTTCCGTACACGATCATTTCCTCCACCTTCACTGGCTTCCTCCTGAGCAGCAGCAACACAAGGGTTAATTAGACCAAGTGGTAGAGGAAGGAGAAACTCAACCTCAGAGACCAGGGGAGGACAAGACCTAAGGTGGACTTAGCCATTTGCAATGCTTAAGTTATTTATAAAGAGGATACTTTCATGTTTTATTCCCATAATCAAAAACATATGCATGTTTAATCTCTAGAAGGTGAGATCTGATGCTAAACACACCAGATTAAACTTCTTTTTTGGGTTCTCAGGACCTCTGACCAGGAAAAGCAGCACCCCACTGAATCTCACTCCACTGCTTCCTTGTTCCTCAGAGAGCCTCACTGAAGACAGCAGGGCCAGCAGCTCATAATAATCCCCTCCTATGCAGAGCTCATCACTATTTACCAATGCCCAGAGCCAGTCTCCTTCCCTGAGCCTACTAGGTCTTCATTAAAAGTGTCTGTACCAGCCAACAGAACACCCTCAGGTATCCCCAAGCATCTCTGTCTCCAAGACAGCTGCTGGAGAGCAGCTCTGGTTGCTGGCCTTCCGGGGCAATCTAACTGTAGTTTTATTGCTGTGCAACCGGTGACCAAGTTCCCCCCAAGGCCCCCTGAGACGTTGAGCTGCATACTTCTGCTTTCCCTACCACTTGGCACCAGCCTCAGGCACCAAACTACTCTTTAGTGATACAGATATTAAATAAAACACCCACTTGGGGGTGGGGGAATAGAGAACAAGTCCTCTCTGGGTAATGCCTCATCTAGGAGGCTTCATGATAAGGTTTTTGAACAAGGAGGGAAAAACATTAAGCTCCTCCCTCCCTGACCCACTGGGCCTCTAGGGGTGAGGATCAAAAGTAGATTATCACAGTGAACCAAATTCTGGTTTGTTCCTCACATTAATGGAGAAGGGGCTGATTCCTTGGATTCAGGGGACAGACCAATCCTTCAGGTTTCTGTATGGGGCTGAAGTGAAAGGCCCAGGGGGAGAGCTCCTGCTGCTGCTCCTCTGGAATCCGAGCTGGGAACAGCAGAGGCGCTGCCATGCCGGGTAGGGTCACAATACTCGGTTCAGGCACGGTCAGAGGGGGAGGTGGAAGGTGGCGCAACAAGTCTTTCCTTGGAATTCAGACCCTCTACCCCTACTGGAGCCCTGGTCCTGGCCAGCACAGAGGGCAGGGGAGGGAGGCAGTAGAGGAGTAGGAACCCGCTCCGGAAGGCTCAGAGCTATTTGCAGCCCAGTTGTCAAAGAAGAGAGGCCACAGGCAGCCCCGGCCCACCCTCTAACTTTACCACTCATTCTCCTTTCCTGGCACAGTCAACCTCCAGTCCTGACCCCCCCCGGCTCCTCTTTAAATCAGCCCTTTCTTAGTTCCCAGTTCACTCACCATTCTTCTCAGCAGCTCAGGCCTGTCAGCAGCTGAACTTGTTTAGTCTATTTCCTCCCCCAGCCGCCAGCGTTCACTTCCTGCTTGTCCCAACTTTCAGCCGGGCCCTGCCCACCTCGCTTCCCGAGGTGCCGCGGCCACACCTCCTGCAGGTTCTCCCAGGTAGGTAGGTACCCTCCCATTAGCCTCCCGAACAGGGACTTAACACTTAAAGCAACAGGGCTCTCTGGCGCCAAAAGTCTTCTAACTTGTCTGGAATGAGAAAAGAAAGATCAGGCAGCACTCCTAGGTTTCCTGAAGCTGGACCTCCTGATCTAGAAGGGAAGTTGTTTCCTTTTTATGTTTTGAATCTCTAATTCCAGTTTCTAGAGACCAAGATCAATTATACAAAGGGTGGGACAAGGTTGGTGCCTGTTACACAGTGGTTATGGTGCTAGCCACATGCACTGAGGCTGGTGGGTTCAAACCCAGCCTGGGCCAGCTAAACAACAATGACAACTGCAACAACAACAACAACAAAAATAGCCAGGTGTTATCGCAGGTGCCTGTTGTCCCAGATACTTGAGAGGCTGAGGCAAGAAAATCACTTAAGCCCAAGAGTAGGAGGTTGCTGTGAGCTGTTGAGCCGTGACACCATGGCACTCTACCCAGGGCGACATAGTGAGACTCTGTCTCAAAAAAAAAAAGAGTGAGACTATTAAATTCACAAACTCATCCTGGAAGAGGTTTTATGTACCATACTGCTGAATATCACTACAGTTACCTTCAAAGTACTCCCCTTGGGAAGCTATGCACCCATGCCAAAGCCTAGTCCACACTTTAAAGCACTTTTTTGTTTGTTTGTTTTTGAGAAGGAGTCTTAGTTTGTTTTTGGGGGGTTTTTTGGGGTTTTTTTGAGACAGAGCCTCAAGCTGTCCCCCTGGGTAGAGTGCTGTGGCATAGCTCACAGCAACCTCCAACTCCTGGGCTCAAGCGAATCTCCTGCCTCCGCCTCCCAAGTTGCCGGGACCACAGGCGCCCGCCACAATGCCCGGCCACTTTTTTTTTCAGTTGCAGCCATCATTGTTTCATTGTTGTTTGGCAGGCCAGGCTGGATTCGAACCCGCCACCCTAGGTGCATGTGGCTGGCGCCTTAGCCACTCGAGCCACAGGCGCCAAGCCAGGAGTCTTACTTTGTCACCCTCAGTAGAGTGCTGTGGCATCACAGCTCACAGCAACCTCAAATTCTTGGGCTTAAGTGATTCTCTTGTCTCAGCCTCCCAAGTAGCTAGAACTACAGGCACCCGCCACAGTGCTTGGCTATTTTTAGAGACAAGGTCTCCCTCTGGCTCAGGCTGGTCTCGAACCTGTGAGCTCAGGCTATATACCTGCCTTGCCCTCCCAAGTGCTGGGATTCAGAGGCATGAGCCACCGCACCCAGCCCCCTTCAAAGCACTTTTGGAACTGTTTCTGGAATGGCCATCAAAGCTGCAACAGTATTACCCTTGATGTCCTGAATGTCATCAAAATGTCTTCCTTTCAAAATTTCCTTTATCTGCTGGTAAAGAAAAAAAATCACTGGGGGCCTGATCAGGTGAATAGGGAAGGTGTTCCAATACAGTTATTTATTTATTAGCTAAAAATTTCCTCACCGTCAGTGCCTTGCGAGCTGGTGCATTGTTGTGATGCAAAAGCCATGAGTTGTTGGCCAAGATTTTTGGTTAAAGTTTTCCTGTCTCTCTACTGATGTTGACTTGGTCCACTATGCTTCTCACAGTCAGCCGATGATTTTGACGCACAGCGTGAGGAATTTTTGCAATGTTTTTGTCTGTTCTGCTCATTACTGGCTGCCCTGACCTGTCTTCATCAGTAACATATTCTCTCCCCTAAGAAAAATGTTTAATCCATTTGTACACTGCCAGTTTTTTCATGGCATTATCACCTTAAACTTAGACTAATACATCTCTGATTTCATTCTCACCATTGCCAAGTTTAATAAGAAATTTACAGCCGGGACTCGGCACCTGTGGCTTGGGTGGCTAGGGCGCCAGCCACATACACCTGAGCTGGCGGGTTTGAATCCAGCCTGGGCCCGGCAAACAACAATGATGGCTGCAACCCCCCCCCCAAAAAAAAATAGCCAGGCATTGTGGTGGGCGCCTGTAGGGGAGGTAGAGGCAGGAGAATCGCTTGAGCCCAGGAGTTGGAGGTTGCTGTGAGCTGTGATGCCACAGCACTCTACCCAGGGCAAAAGCTTGAGACTCTGTCTCAAAAAAAAAGAAAGAAAGAAAAAGAAATTTACACCCAGTGCAGTGGCTCATGTCTATAATCCTATAACTGTGGGAGGCCAAGGCGGGTGGATTGCTCAACCTGAGCAAGAGCAAGATCCCATCACTTAGAAAAATTAATAGGTATTGTGACAAGAGCCCGTAGTCCCAGCAACTGAGCAGGCTAAGGCAAAAGGATCTCTTGAGACCAAGAGTTTGAGGTTGCTGTAAGCTATGACACCATGGGCTCTCTACCCAGGGTGGTAGAGTGAGACTCTGTCTCAAAAGGAAAAAGAAAAAGTGGCTTGGCGCCTGTGGCTCAAGCAGCTAAGGTGCCAGCCACATACACCTAAGGTGGCGGGTTCGAATCCAGCCCGGGCCACCAAACAACAACAGCTGCAACCAAAAAATAGCCAGGCGTTCTGGCCGGCCCCTGCGGTCCCAGTTACTTGGGAGGCTGAGGCAGTAGACTTGCTTGAGCCCAGAAGTTGGAGGTTGCTGTGAGCTGTGATGCCATGGCACTCTACCCAGGCGGACAGCTTGAGGCTCTGTCCCCCCCCCCCAAAAAAAGAAAGAAAGAAATAAAAAGAAATTTATAAATGTTGTTAGTTGCTTTAATTCAAGCTCCAGCTAATTCAAGCTCTGACATTCTCTCTATGGCACACAACAGCATGCAACAACAGTAATGAATGCAACTCAACAAGATGTTGCCACATGTCAACATGAACACATCTGTGAGGCACTGATATACCAAGGTTATGAAGCCTTACCAAGTTGTTTCTACAGTGCTGCTAATGTAAGCACACAGGGGTATTTTGCAAACTTAATTGTCAGATCTTATAAGCACCTGCCAGGCCTAGTTCACATGGAAACAGAATGCAGACCTAAAAAAAATATGTTGTTTTTTTTGAGACAGAGTCTCATTATGTCACCCTTGGTAGAGTGCTGTGGCATCTCAGCTCACAGCAACCTCAAACTTGGACTTAAGCGATTTTCTTTTCTTTTTTCTTTTTTTTTTT